CTTTTAAGCTGAGCTTCCAGTAAAGCTAATGACGTGCAAATGACGGCCTCAACCATTAACACAAAAAATTAGGTAGGTTTACAAAATTGCATGTCTACACTTTAGACGGCTGGTTTGGGACGTCCATGCCTAGACAGGCTTTTAACTTCGAAATTGATCAAATACTATTTTTCTAATCAGTTTTTAACGCTTTAAGTTAAAAAATACATTTTCTTAATCAGCTCAATGAGCTCTATCCAACGATGTATAATACATTAAGAAAAACATTTTGATTTAATTTTACATTGTGCATTTATATAGTACTTTCTGTTGTAGCTTACTACGCGATACAAATTTTTTTGTTACTTACGATGCTGATAATGTTCTGATCAATTTTTTTGTTTGAAAATCATAACAATTGATAGCACAATCACTTCCTGCTACATATATACGTTGAAAATTGCAATTAAAATCTAATGCTAATGGTTGCCGTTCTTGTTCGTAAAATGTATAAACACATTGTTGGCTTGGCCAGTGCCAAATTTTAACATATCCAGCTGTGTCTATAAGTAAAAAAGCATAAGAAAAAGTATTTTTTAGACATCTCATCAAAATAAGATGTTCTTACATGTAGCAGCCAACATTTTACGATGATCAGCTCTGGTATCATCTTTATTCGCATAAAAACGTATCCAAGTCACAGGATAACCTTAACCAAAAAAGTATCATTATACCAGATTGTTTTGAAAATTTTGGTAATAACAACAACTTACGTTTTTTTTTTGTATCAGCATCCATTAAAACATACTGAAATTCGCCCTTTTTCGAGTAAAGCTAAACAAGTGACCAAAATTATATATGCAACTAAATTTCAATGATATTTTTTTGATTTTTACTTTAATCATTCCGTTGCCTAGTCCAACTGCAAACATGTCCCCATTTGGGCTATATTTACAACATAAAACATGGTCTTCACAATTACTAGAAAAATTCAAAACCAAACAAAAATTTTGTTTTGTTAGAAAAAAATAAAATCTGGTCAATATACTTACATAACAGTGGCCAGTTCAAAGTCACCAAGTGTTTGATGTTTTGGACGAACATCAACCACTTTTGAGTGAGGCTGTAGGCGATTCACTGACTTATCAGTACTGGTTTGAGATGTTGAACGATAACTATCAGCTTGAAAATGAAAAAAAGAAAAAAGTTAAATGCTAATTTGATATGCACACGTAACCGCCCATCTGCTAAACATGAAACTTACATAGTGTGCCGTTATTTTTTAACAAACACTTGAATGATAAGACAACGACTTTTTACATACTTTAGAGAAATAGAACTGGAAATCATCTCAACGAAAGAGTTTTATCAATGATTGGATTAAGGAAGAGTTCAAGCATTCGTTTTAATTGAGTCTTTTATTTGTAATAAGAAATTTTATTAACAACAAAGCTACCTACCAGAGCGTGTTGGAGCAGTCATAGTGAAAAAAAAGTTATTACTTATTTAAAAGATGACACAAGAATTCTACCGCTTTATTTTGTAGGATGATGTGCAAAATGGAAAAGAAGTTACTGTTTCATATTATATTAAACAATGAAAATAGGTGATGTATATAAACACACCAAGATCATCAAGAAAAAAACTTTTGAAAGAAGAGACAGAATGGAAAAAGAAACACGATTTGGTAAGACAGCTAGATGTCGTATTTTCTTCTTTTTTAGAAAAACAGTATAAGCAAACTAAAATTATTATTAAAAACCACTCATCAGCAGTCACAGTTTCTTTTGGTTTTTCAAAAATCACACCGTAAAAGTCTTTTTACCATTTCTTAGTCATCAGTTTTCAGATGGCATCAAAATCAAAATTTTAAAAGAGCAATTTTCAACATGGACATATCGCACCAAAGGTACATTGTCCAGAGTCGGGAAATATCTTACTTTGTCAAGATATGTTTAACAGAGATATGCACGTATTTCTGAAAAACTTTTGACAAAACGTCAAAAAACTCCGTTGTATACCTCTGGTAGTCAACGAATTATTAGAAGGTTTTAAAAAACTATTAGTTTGCTTACAGTTACAATTTTCTTTGAAAACTAGGAAGAAGGGTCAGCTAACTCTAGCTAGCCATGTTGAACGGTATATGACGTATAGTTTATTAGCAGAACTTAGTTGTTGCAAATAATGTGTAAAAAACTAAATAGAGAGAGAGAGAGAGAGATGATAAGTATCGTCATCTCTTCCACGTTTGTTTCTTTCTTTTTTATTGATATTTAAAACTATAACAGTTTCATTCTTAGTATTAGTGTTTCATTATATTTTACTTTTTTTGAAAATTATTCTAATATGGATGGATAATTGTTATTAGACCTTTCATAGAAAAAGTTAAAGACATAGACAAAGAAAGATGAGAAAGAAAGAAACAATATGATAATAATTACTATGTTTACGAACAAGAAAATATCTGTAAAAGGTAGAAATGTGAACATCATTACGTGTCAAACAAATTTTTATCAGATACCGAATTATTATTCATACAGTATGCCGTTTACTCAATGTGTATTGATAAAGCCAAAATGAGACTTGTCATCGAACGAATGAAAGCTGAAAAATATTGTAAGTGAATTTTTCGTTTTTTTCTAGTGAATCGATTTATTAACAATCAGCAAAATTCAATTTTAATACGATCTAATTCGTGTAAAGCAAATGAGAGACATGAAGTAATTGAAACTTAGTTTTCTACGTCACAAAAGTCAATAAATTTTATTATCTATTATCTTTTTTTCTATAACCATTTGTTCATTGTACTTAATAGTCAATTTTTATGCAGTTTAATCAGTGACTAGTGTTCGGAGTTTTGTTTTCATTTAATTTAACTAAAAATCCTTGATTTTTATCACACATTTTTAAATCTCATTGAAGAAAATTAGAAGAATGGGAAGAAAATATTTTTTATTTATGTTGCTTACAGCCACTCACACGTTCTTGATGCTCATCTGTTTCGTTTTTTATTGTTTCGACTAATTGTGTCCGAAAATCACGTATAACATTATTTCGTCGATCACCAGCACCGCTACCATTTTCAGGTTCGGGCTCTGATCCCTCATCATCATCTAGATTTGCATCATCCAAATCGCTGAGATCATCTGCCGAACGCGAGATATAATTGCCCAATACATTATTATAAGTTGACATCTAAAATAATGGAGAAAAAGAAAATCAATTCATTTATCAGATTAAACTCATATAACGTTCAAATAAAAGTTTTTATCGACAAAAAAATAATGCAATGGAGTTAGGATAGAGACAATATATTGTTCAATAAACATATATAACCATTACGATTTTCTCACATCGGCAAAAAAAAGAAAAAGAAAAGCCTTAACTCTACACTAACGTTTTTGAATTTAACTTAGTGTACATGTTCTTTACTCCTATTATAATATTCGAAAGTAACGTATTTATTTTCCATTCAACATTTAAGCTATTTTGATACTACTAATTCTACGAATAGGAAGACAAGTGTGACATTTTATCGTTTGAAATTTTCAATCTCGTTGCTCCTAATGACGTTTGAATAACCTTTTTTTACATATGCTCTTAATGATTTTCCAGTGGATGTTGGAATCCATACAAGTTCTTGACAGATACATCATTTATCCTGTAAAACTCAATATTCTATAGTTTTAAGAAATTTTCTATTTAAATTTTGATAGTTACGATATGGAATCTAAGTGTATTACTATTGACTACTATTTAATATCGATTGTGGTAGAGAATGGACACTCGATGTTAATAAAATACTTTATCATAACTCATTGTTATCAGAACACATGCACATCGAAAGGTCATTCTTAACGATTTACATGTTGAATGCAGTTTTGGGATATTTCAATTTATGAAGTTAAATTTCTAATTTGTGCAAGAATGTATGGGCTTTGAATAATCTTCTACCTACACTTATATGTATTTCTATCGTTTGCCGAACTATAGAATCGAAGATGAAATATTGAAGACATTATCTTTACGAATAGGCAAAAATTTCATTAAGCATAATAAAACAACAATAGTAATTTTCATTTTATTGAAAAACTTTGTAATTAAATTAAAACCAATTATTTCAACGTTTCGAACTTTAAAAGTTCATTTTCAAGAATAAATACAAAATGTGTCCTAGCTGGTTACATTTGCTAGT